TTGTAAGATTATTTTACCCTGTTGTCAGTCCCAAATGCAGAGGTGAGCCATGTCTCTGTATAATCATTAACATTTACAAAAGATTAACTACAGAATACTCATGCTAGGCTAGACTTCAAAGTGTTGTAGCATTATCAGATCTCTTAGTTTTGCTGAACATACCATGATATTTCTAAGCAGTTTTTTTTAAATAAATAAATAAAAAGTTTGTCTCTTTTAAGCAATGGTATGTTTTTATTTTAAACAGAATTTTTTAAATTTCTTATAGAATTGTAAAACATACAAGATTGAAGAAGAAAAGATATACATAAAGCCAGATTCAGCAGAGAAAAGAAAGGGAGACAAGAAATGAAGGAAAGCACTACAGAAGATCACACACTGGTCAACATGTTTGATTACAATTCTTCCTTGAAGCAACTCACTTACTGTTCTTTCAAAGAGAAACCAAAACTGTCTTCCACTGGAGGAGGTATAGACATGCACACACATGAAGGCACAGAAAAAGCACGTACGTAGTTTAAATGTGTAAAAAGTCAGGAACTCTCAAATTCATGACGTTTGCCACTGCACAATGTATTCAAAAGTGGCAAGAAACACTACAAAATCAAATCTGAGAAACTCCTGTTTGAAAAGAGTACAGTATTGTTTTCTTCAAATTTTTCACAGCACTTTAATTAAGTCTCCCTGCCTCACTGTGTAAGAATATCCATGGCCAAGGTGTCACTTTACCTTGTCAAACCTGTTCTTTCAGACCATTTTATGAACTAGTCAACTTAATGGGTGCCTTCTTGGAAACAAGAGATCTACAGGAATTAGCTCTTTAAAAAACTACGGGAATTAGTTCTTTCCATTCCAAAAGCAAACTCTGACAAATATGGGAAGTCATTCTGCTGAGAGTGTATAAGAGAGAATGCATTTTAGGTACATTGCCTGGAGAATAGGACTGATCTGGTTGTATCTTCTTTCCCAGAACATAATTAGAAGTTGTATAATTAATACACACAATCCCATCTTTGACCTAAGCCCTTTAAAAGAAAATTAATTGGAAAATTGGATTACAAATTTAACAAGAAATGCAATTTAAAATTTAAAAACTAATGTTTTAATTTTAAAAACGTCAATTTTTATCAATACTGCTTCACAGAAAGGTGGTGTTTAAAGATAGGAAAAAAACCAGCAAAAACTGAAATAAATGGACTTTAACTTTGTTTAATTTGCCTATCAGCGTTCAGGAAATTCTTCTGTATGGTCAATATGCTCTTCATCAATGAGAAAAAGACACATTTTATTCTTAAAGAATCAGCACTGTCTTATAGGTAAATCATCAGACATGGTTCTGCTGGCAAGTCAGCAGCTTAAGAAACATAACTATTAAGTTCATGCAGACAAAATCTAACCAAACCACCCAACCACTTAGTCTCACTGGAAATGACTATCAAGCTATTTCGAGGGCCAGTGAGTTCTGAATTTCATTGCGTGAAGGGCAATGGCAAGCACCATGAAAGACGTACACTTGGCAGGATTCTCTTGTTAAGCACACATGGGATGTCTCCTATACACATGCAAACATACAGTATTCAAATAAACCCTCCTTAATGAGAACAATGTGCAGACTGCTTATTCATTTTGTGAATGCACACTGCATCCTGTACTTTTACCTACCTTATTTTCCTGCGTATAAGACTACTTTTTAACCTGAAAAAATCTGTGGTTAAAGTGGGGGGGGGGGTCGTCTTATACGCCGGGTATAAGAATAAGGAGGATGGAGGTGCTAAAATTCTATATTTTGACTGGAAAATGGGGGGTCGTCTTATACGCCGGAAAATACGGTATTTTACTTTTAGAGCAAACATTTTGTGAATGCAATTGAAACAGACCTACTTTGGATAAGCCTTTTTAAAAAAGATATGGTTTTCAAAGATGAAACAAAATGACAAGCTGCTGTATTATGGCTTTACTGTGGTTTTGGGGGGAGTTATAATAAAATGGCAGGTAACAATTTTCTGTTTAGTGAACTGTTATAGACACACAAACAAGGAGGTGAGCCCCTCTACTATTTCTGAATATGATATTCTCTTCTGTATTATGTGCATCACCTGTACAGCTATTGTTTTGAATTGGATCATTGAGTTTACTCTATAAAGTGACAGAAATGACAAGCTATACAGCACAGTAGACCACCCACATTTACTGGGATTAGGGGTGCAGGACCCCCATGAAAGTGGAAAAACTGCATATAAAAATAAAACTTTTTAACTTGAGAGAACACCTCTCTAGGAATCTCCAGGTCCTCAAGTGCAACTCTCTAGTCAACATCTGGTGGAGGCTGACCACAAAATCACACCGGAGGACCTAAAATACCTACAGCATTTTCTAGGTCCTCCAGCATGGCTTTATGATCAACGTTCAACAGAGTTGTGCTGGAGAAACTAGAAATTCCTAGAGAGAACATATTAAATCCACAAAATTCAAAGCCACAAATGTGGGCCTTACATTGCATTCATTCATTATATCAAATATGATATAGTATTGTGCCTTTAAGCATCTGTGCTCACTACCTTGACAAATAAAATACCAATCTTAATACTCAATACAGTGGAGAGAGGGGAGGCTAAGGGTAATCCAGAAACAACTAGACACGCACACAACTTTGTCTCAACCTGGGAGAAAAGTGAGAATATCAATAATGTTAATGTAAGTCACACACTCTCAGTCTCACCTCTCTCAACAAAGTCTCACCTCTCTCACCTCTCTTGGCAAGAAAATCCTGTGATGAGGTCCTGTAAAGATTGTTATAAGTCAGAATCAACATGAAGCCACACAAAATGATGATGATGATGATACACTGTATAAGAAGCATCTGTGCACACCTGGGAAGGCCTAGCATAGTTTATGGACCTCTCTGTGGTGCATAAAGTTTTGCTTTGCTATTTTCAGGCTAGGTCATGATATCACTATGATGTCGACTCTATGAATTTTGGGCCCAGCATGAGAAACTGTCTGCCCCAAGTACAAGCTAGGATTCAAAGCTGAATTCTGAAATTTATTACCATCTTAACTTCTGCAGGGAACAGGCAATTTTTTAAAACTACCACTGTAAAATACAAATGCTTTTCATCAATAATATAGTGGCTTGTCAAGCATACATTTAACTGAATGAATAGGAACAGATTTGACTACTCCAGTGGAGTAAGTCAAAGAAGACAGCTTTACTCAGTTACCAGAACAAATGTTCTGTTGTGACAGCTATTCAGATGCTACTAAAATCTTCAACAGGTTTGTCAAGTAAAAGAGCCAAAGCAGAATGTGGCAGAGAAAGCAGGAATTACTTGGTATAGGTACACAAGACATAGCGCAGGGACAGGCAACCTTTCCCCTTTAAGGGCCGAGGGACTTCAGCTCCCAGAATCCCAGGAGCTATTGACCAACATGGGACTATTGGCCAACATGGCTGAGGCTTCTGGGAGCTGAAGTCCCTCGGCCCTTAAAGGGGAAAGGTTGCCTACCCCTGACATAGCAGATCAAATATGCAAAGGGTTCCGCAACAATGTTTAGCACTTTGTCTCGGACCCCTTGCACAATTGGGTTTCTAAACAATGAGGAGAAAGTCAAAAAGACAAAATAATGCTTGTTAAATGTGTAGGTTACAGCAGGGCCAGGCAATGTATGATCTGCAGGCTCCATGTGGCCCCCTGGACTCCATGTTTGTGACCCTTAAAGCCCCTCACCAGTCCCCACCAAAAATTATGAAATTTCTCTGTAGTCCTTCCCAAATTGGCAACAGGAAGTACACCCAGTACAGCAAATGGGGGCCCACCACACACCCAACTCAAGGGCCACAGTACCCAGAGTTAGTCATGTTATTTTAGTACACAAGGCAGTAACCCCCCAAAAAAATCCTTCCCCCCCCAAAAAAAATATATACAGTGACAACAATGTGAACAATTGTTCTCCCCTTTACAGCATGCAAAATATGCAGCCTGAGGCAGCTGCCTCATTCTAACCATACATTATCTCAGTGGTTCTTGAACTTTTTACCTTGTGACCCCCTTTACATCTATAGCTGGACATTGTACACACTCCTCCATTTGATGTAGTATATGAACATACT